GTTTCTACTTTTTTTCATGATGAAGGAAAAATTTGTAATAGTTTAAAGTAAACTAAAATCACCTAGGTTTGAATCCATAGTAGCTAGCCTTGTAGCCTGGGGCACAAGACTTAACTCATCTTCCTGGTAAACTGGGTGTAGTACTAGCCTGGACCTCATACTGCTTTTGAGAAGTTACATTAATTCCTGTAAATCCTGATTTAAAACCTCGTTCTTTCATGGTCCCTTGCTATTTTTAAGAAGTCTTTCATTTGGTGATTGCTAATCGCAAACCCGTCTTCTAGATCTGATATTCTCTCTTTGAATTGGTTGATTCTGCCGCATATACTTTCAATAAAATTTTTAATCTCCTGGCTATCTGTTTGAATTTGTTTTATAGGTTCCAGTTCTTTCCTATGTTGGGCCTTCATGGTTTCCATCATTTTCCTAAGTTCCTCTATTTTTAAAAATCTGTATCTACTCTAAGTTCACTAACCATGTTCTTCATTACGCTTTTTAGTGAAAGCTATAAAAATATTAACTATTAGTAGTAATGATAATCACAAAATCTTCATAAGCACATTATTCCTACTTAGAAAACCTCCACAAGCAAATGAACAGCTAGCCCACATTTCCTCTGGGCAGCTTCCTATGAAGAGGCAGTTTTTCACTATTCTGAGTAACAATGCATTGAAGGTCTTCGACTATAAAGCTTTCTGTATTTATGATTATTTCCTTAGTTTAGAGTGGTTCAAAGAGTCTCTCTGATTCTGTTAAGATTGTAGAACCTATTGCCTCACTGTGATTAACCTTTCTTTGTATTTTTATATCAATTAGGTTCTTTGCATTAACTCAAATCTCCTGTCCTATAATTTAAGCTTATACCTGTGATCAAGATAGTCACCAAGATGGTCAGTACTACAACAGATATCGGAGCCAAGTGCAGTGGCATCCTATCGATGTTAACCACTGTGGGTTTAGAAGTAAAAGCTCATAAATGTCAGCACTTGTCAGCCTCCTTTCAGTATGCTAAGGTTCTCCTGCCCTTAGTAGTACCTCCCCAAGGACTGCTGTGAATTCCACTATTACAGGGCACTTTCTTCGTCTTAATGTTTTACAACCGCTAAAGAGCAAATTCTGCTGAGTCAAGTAAGACATTTTCTTATGAATCACTTGTACTTTTTGGTTTTAACGAAACAACTCCTGGACAAATTAAATCAGATAGAATAGGAAGCAATTCAGAACTTGGAAACCTTACAATGAAAGATGTTCGAAAATCTCTTAAAGAATATAGAACAACAATGAGGACAGCAACAATAACAAAAGCAGGCATTTATTGACCCCTGCTTGGGCAGTGTGGCAAGAGTGTTTACAAGTCCATGTGTCTGTCCAAGCACCAAAAAGTTTGCTGCAAAGCACCAAAAAGTTTAATAATTGGTCCAAAGTCATACAGCTCCTGAGGGTTAGAGTTGGACTCAAACCCAAATCCCCTGGTTCCAAAGCACGCACTCTTCAACCTTGCATCATTTTTTCTGTCTTCTTTACCCAGATAAAAGAAAATAGCTGTTATCAAGGGATCAATCTGGTAAAACAGCACCAAACTGCTTTAGGACTAAACCAAAGAGACAAACATTCCAAAGCTTCCTTTCTCTAACATAACAATTTTACTGCTCACGTTATGCTGTGCACACATCTGTAGCTCATATCTACGTAAACACGCCTCATCTGTGTTTGTGACCACGGAGAAGTGAAATACATTTCTGAAATTTCTTAATGAAAAATTTACATTAATATTTTTAATTAATTAATTTGGCGAGGGCCTAGAGCACACCCTGCTGGCCAGCTGATAGGAAATACAGCATCTATTTTGGACAAAATGCTTAAATGTTTAAATCGGAAGGTGAAGTCAAGTTAATGCTTAAAAGAAACTTGAAAAAATTTTCATAGAACAACTAGATTAAATATCTAAAGGAATGACTCTCGGACACTAAAAAATTCTAAAAGTTAACTAAGTTTTAGAGATGGGATATTATCAATCTACCAAGAGAATCGAATGTTTGTCAAGAGAGCGTGAGGCATAGGAGAGGCAGCTCAACTAAAAACAAACTGATATACACAGCCTGGCCCAAACCCACCCACACCAAGCAAAGTAGTTAAGCCTTGTCCCTAACAGTCAAAAACCATAGACTAATAAATTATAACCACTCAGTCTTCTCACAGGCTACACGAAAGATAGACAGATAGATAGATGATAGATAAATAGATAGATAGGTAGATAAACTGATCGAAAGACCGATCTTTTAGCAGAAAAGCTAGGAAGGTAGAGTATACAAAGAAACAATGGAATGTTTTTGCAAAAAATGTTTTTCTGTGCTACTTTTCAAATGTCTCCTAAGAGTGAAAGCTCAGTGGAAGCCTCTGCTGTGTTCTGGAAGTGCTCACCGCTCTTATCAGCATGAGCATGTTAAACAATCCACAGAGTTTATTGGCTATATATAATATATGTGCCTTTGTATCATGTTTCCAAAATATAGTGCAGGATACTAAACAGCCTCTAAGGTGTGCAGTTCTTCCATTTGTCTTGTATTTTTTTTTAAATCACACACTTATTACAGACTAGTTAAAAAAAAAAGTGCCTAATACACTTTTTTTTTTTTTTTTTTTTTTTTGTCTTTTTTGAGACAGGGTCTCACTCTGCAGTTCAGGCTGGCCTTGAGCTCACTTTGTAGCCCAGGCTGGTCTCGAACTTACAACAATCCTCCTGCCTATTGCTGGGATTACAGGCGTGCAGTACCACACCTGGCCCTAATATACATTTATATCCATGTATACACAGAAATAAAGACTCTAGGACTAATAAGGTAATGCAAAAAATGTCTCATTTTAAAATATTTCTTGAGCCAGGTGTGGTCATGGCCCATGCCTGTAATCCTAGCATTTGGGAGGCTGAAGCAGGAAGATCATTGCGAGTTCAAGACCACCCTGGGCTATAAGGTGAGTGCAAAGCCAGCCTGAACTGCATAGCGAGACCCTGTCTCACAAAGACAAAAAAAAATTTTTTTTCTTTATTAGTAGGAACATAAACCCACCTATGATCAAGATGAATAAACACCAAAATGCACATGCTCTTCTATAGGACTCCAACACACAAAAATAAGACACACATTTGATAAGGCCCTGTCCAGCATACTTCTGTTTCTACATGATATGGAATTTCCTTGAGAGGACAGGAAGGAGCAATGGCCCCAGGAAAATAATGTGATTCTCAGGTTTCTGAGTCAGAACCTCAAGCTTGACTTTGCTCCAAGGACAGTTTCTCCTCGTGCTAAAAGAAGAGCAAGTACAGAATGACAATTTGGGTCAATATGACACAACTCTCGTGTTTTTGGTGTTTAAATTCTATTCAAAACAACCAGCTAACATACATTCCTTGAGAAATGAACTCAGAATTAAATTTTCTGTGAGAGATTTTTAAAAAAACAGTGGCTTTAAATTTATTTCTTATTGGAAACAACATAAAACACATTAGGTTGAGAAAAAAAGAATATTTTCTCTCAATCATTAATCTAGTGTTCAAATCCTTTGATGATCAATACACGATCACTTCATAAACACGCTAGAATCACTTCACATTGCTTAGCATTTTTCCTTTTAACCTCTTTCCAGAATGTTCCACAATAGTATCAACATATCAGTGTTATTACAAAATATCATTAAGAAAACTATTAGATAATGGATTTGTGGGGTGTAAGTCTCAACTCCTCTGCAGCTGAAAAACCCTTTTTATATGAATATAATTATAAGCTGAGTTCAGTAAGCTAGCAGCTGTAACTGGTTTTTCCCAAAAAATGAATAAATGAGGTTTATTTTGTAAGTTTAAAATAGAAGACAAAAATCAGATTAATCATGTATTACTCATACGATTTTTGATAATTTACCAAAACATTAGCACATCCTACAGCTCAGGACTATATCCTGTTGATCTTCTTTCTCTGCAGAAGGGGTGTGTTTGATGGTTGCCCTGGTGATTATCACTGTTTTATGAATAGGAGAATGTAAAAGCATGCCAATAAGGCCAAAGCACAAATTACAACTGTATTGTGGTGACTTGAAATAGCGCAACTAGGGTTCCTTTTAAATGAAACTGGAGCTCACCTAGTCCCTGTTCAGTGAAAGCTGTACTGTGAGGTCTGAAAAGATGTTCTCTGGCAGATGTTTTTTGTTTTTTTTTTTCTTTTTTACCCTGATAACAGCATATGGGTAAGCTGGGAATGTAAAACCGACTTACGTCTGGGTTGAAAGATCTGGAAAGATTTTTCTGTGAACCCAAAAACAAAAATGTAGTTAACTAAAAAAATCAGCAATAGTTGTGACTCATTTTCATAATCCTAAAATAATACTAAGTGCATGGCAATAAGGAAAAGGATAAGTATGCTGGGATAACTAAATTGTTGATAAACATCGCGGCAGGAAGGTGACCCAATAGCCCCTGCAGGCCAGAAGGAAACATCAGAAAGAAAAATGTAGCTGGTCTCTGTCAAACATTTCTTTATCTTCGACAGAGCGCAAAGGGGCACTTCGGAGAGAGATATATATTTAATTTGGTGCTGAAAGCCTTGAGTTCAAAAGCAGCCCTCGGAATTAAAGAATGTAAGTAAATAATGGTGAAGAAAAGGCAAATCACTTCAGGGGCGCAGAGTTAATAGTTAACCCGATAATGAGGCCGGAATCTCATTCCATATGTTAAACTGCCCCAATTAGGCAGCGCCGGCGGTCCAACCACCAGGCCCGCGGCAGCCGTGCAGGAAGGGCCGGGAGAGCGGGAGGTCAGCCGCAGGGCCCCGCCTCCACCCGCGGCGCGCCACTGAGGGCATCTGCTCAGTTCCGACTGGAGGGTTTCCCTCTGTTTGCTTTCTTCTCACTTTAGCTACTCCTGGTTTGTTATCATTTGTGTTATTTATCTTACGGTTAAACTATAAGCCCAAGTTGCATCACTGGCGCCCCCACAAACCTCCTCTGCAGCCTTGCTGGCGTCGCGTCCTTGGGCATCAGTGGGCGCCCCGCCCCCTGCCAAGAGACCCCGAGGAGCTCGGGTCGCACAAGCGACAGGTAAACACCGGCCGCGGGGGGCGGGGGGCCCGGGGCCGCGCCTCCGAGCCGGCAGCTTCCCGGCTCGCAGCAGCGCGGGCGACGCGGCCTCCACGGCCTCGCTGTCCCCGCGGCCGTCCCTCGCCGTTTCTCCCTGTCCTGCACTGCCCTCGCGGCCCTCACTGTCCCCCGCCGCCCCTCACGGTCCTCTGCTGTCCCTCGCCGCCCCCGCGCGGGCGCGCGGCCGGTCTGCCCTGCGGCGGCCAGGGACAAACGCCACGTCCTCCCCGGGGCTGGAAACGTGGGGAACTCCGCGCGCGGACCGGCTGCCCGCAGGCTTCCGAGAACTCCGTGTCACAGGGCTCCGCAGCCGCCCCCGGAGCTATCACAGGGGACGGGCGAAGGCCACCGCCCGCGCGGCCACCTCCGCGGACATCCAGCCTGCCTCCCGCGAGCCCGCGCGACGCCCCGGTGGGTCCCACGCAAACGCGGCCGCGGCGGCGTCGCCCCTTTAAGCTGCCGGCCGCCCGGATTGGCTGCGCGAGGGAGGCGGGGCGGTCGGCGACGAAGTCACGCTGTCGTATAAATGCAGGAGGCGGCGGCGGGGCGACGGCGGCCGAGTGCGAGGCAGGGCGCGCGCGGGAGAGTCGAGCGAGAGGCGAGGCGCCTGCGCGGTGTCCGGGCCCCCGAGCCCGCGG